AATAATTGCCGCGTCGAAATAAATGTTCGACCATGACGCGGCGGCGAATTTTTTGACCACCGCGACTAGATTTGCGACCATGCCGTAACTAACATTTCAACCGCCGTGACTAATTACCGCGGTAAAAAAAAATATTCGACCATCCCGCGGCGAGTTTTTTTGACCCTCACGACTAATTTTTCCTCCGCTGTGACTAGTTTTTTGACCGATGTGTCTAAATATATTTCGACCATGCCACAAATAAAATTTCGGCCGCCGCGACTAATTTTCGATCATGCCGCAACTAATATTCCGACCGCCGCGAATAATTGCCGCGTCGAAATAAATGTTCGACCATGACGCGGCGGCGAATTTTTTGACCACCGCGACTAGATTTGCGACCATGCCGTAACTAATATTTCAACCGCCGTGACTAATTACCGCGGTAAAAAAAATATTCGACCATCCCGCGGCGAGTTTTTTTGACCCTCACGACTAATTTTTCCTCCGCTGTGACTAGTTTTTTGACCGATGTGTCTAAATATATTTCGACCATGCCACAAATAAAATTTCGGCCGCCGCGACTAATTTTCGATCATGCCGCGGCGAAATATTTTGACCACTGCGAGTATTTTTTTGACCGCTGTGACTAATTTTTTGACCATACCGCGAATAATTTTTGGGCCATGCCGCAGAGAATTTTTCATCCACCGCGAATAATTTTATGATCACCGCGACTAATTTTTCCTCCACTGCGACTAGTTTTTTGACCGCCGCGACTAATGTTTTGACCTCCACGACTAAATTTTCGACCCGGCTGCGACTAATTTTTCGACCGCTGCGACTAATTTTTGACCGCCGCGACTAATTTTTTGACCGTGCTGCGACTGTTTTTTGGACCACGCCGCGGCGATTTTTTCAACCATGCCGCGACAAATTTTTTGGCCGCCGCGATTAAATTTTTGACTGCCGCAACTAAATTTTAGATCATGCCGCAACGAACATTTCGATCATGCTGCGGCGAAAATTTTGACCACCGCGACTAATTTCTCCTCCACTTCGACTAGTTTTTTGACCTGCGACAAATTTTCGGACCGCTGCGACTGATGTTTTGACCTCCACGACTAGATTTGCGACCATGCCGTAACTAATATTTCAACCGCCGTGACTAATTACCGCGGTAAAAAAAAGTACGACCAGGCCGCGGCGAGTTTTTTGACTGTGAGTAGTTTTTTGCTCACAGCTACTCACAGCCGTGACCAGGCCGCGGCTGTGAGTAGTTTTTTGACCGATGTGTCTAAATAATTTTCGACCATGCCACAAATAATCTTTCGGCCGCCGCGACTAATTTTCGATCATGCCGCGGCGAAATATTTTGACCACTGCGAGTATTTTTTTGACCGCTGTGACTAATTTTTCGACCATGCCGCGAATAACTTTTGGACCATGCCGCGGAGAATTTTTCATCCACCGCGACTAAGTTATTGATCGCCGCGACTAACTTTTCGCCACTGCGAATAACTTTTTGAACGCCGCGACTTATTTTTTTGACCGTGCCGCGACTATTTTTTGGACCACGCTGCGGCAATTTTTTCGACCATTCCGCGACTAATTTTTATGGCCGCCGCGACTCATTTTTTGACTGCCGCGACTAAATTTTAGATCATGCCGCAACGAACATTTCGATCATGCCGCGGCGAAAATTTTGACCACCGCGACTAATTTTTCCTCCACTGCGACTAGTTTTGTTTTTTGACCGCCGCGACTAATGTTTTGACTTCCACGACTAAATTTTCGAGCCGGCTGCGACTATTTTTTCGACCGCTGCGACTAATTTTTGACCGCCGCGACTAATTTTTCGACCGTGCTGCGACTGTTTTTTGGACCACGCTGCGGCGATTTTGTCCGTATATTTGTCCGTATATTAAAATCCTGGCCAGACTATTGCATTTTTGGTCGCGGAAACAGGTGAGTTAATTTAACTTTAATCAAATATCAGAGCAAATCATCGATCAATTATTGATAAAAACACTATACAGTTTTTGTAATCCTCCATTATTTATTGCTAAATCATTGCTAAAAAATTTATAGTTTTCTACACCAGTCAATTAGCTATAATCCATCAATAAAAAACTGATCTCATCGAGAAGTGATCGCAGATATAGAGCCTCTTGAACCGCATCTGTCATTGCTTGGTACTCAGCCTCACTGGTTGATATGGTTGAACTTGGTTGCTTCTTGGTACTCCAACTAATTGCTGCCCACGCCTTCAGCAAATGAAAACTGTAGCCAGTAGTTGACCTTCTATCATCCAAAACCTGAGCCCTGTCAGCATCTGCGGATCCATAGAGTTTTAGACCACCAGCTTCCTTAGTGTAGCACAGCTCCAGAACTTTGCTCCCCTTCAGGTAACGAAGAACTCTCTTTGCAGCCACCCAGTGCACCCTTCCCGAATTCTCCAGGAGACTAGAGAGTTGCGTCACAGTAGCTAAGATATCAGGGCTTGTTTGCTTGGCTATGTACAACTATGAACCCACTTTGCCTCTGTAGTCCTCAGCCTTCATGGATACTGCCTCTGCTGACCCAGCTTCAGGTCAGCCCTTCTTCGACAGTTGTGCGCTGATGTCCGCTGGTGTGCCCGCTGGTTTGCATTCAGCAATGTCAAAACGCTCCAAGCAGTCGTTGATGTAACGAGATTGATTTACTGTTACCATCCCAGGTGACTGCTTGACTTGCATTTCCAGGAATCAGGACAATGCGCATCGGTCATCCATCTTGAATCGTTCGGAGAAACGGCTCCTCAGCTTGTCAACTTCGTCCTGACATCTGCAACCAATGATGATGTCGTCTACCCAAACCAGCACATAAATCATTGCATCGTTTGTTCCCCTCATCGTGAACAAACAGGAGACATTGCTGCTTCTAGTGAACCCTTCATCAATTAGGAAAGTGCTCAGCGTCTGATACCAGTCTCTTCCTGCCTGCCACAGCCCGTAGAGTTTTCGTTGTAGCAAGCACACTTGGCTTTCACCACTGCTGAACACCTCTGGCTGCTCCATGTACATTGTCTCTACTAGAGAAGAGTTGAGGAAGGCTGACTTAACATCCATCTGATGAAATACAAGATCATATTGTGCCACCAGAGCTAGCAGTATCCTTTTTGTTTCGGGTTTACAGGTTGGAGCAAATGTCTCATTGAAGTCAAACCTTCCACTTGCATGAACCCTTTTATAAGAATTGGGCTTTGAACCGCTCCACTTGTCCCATCGCATCTCTTTTTACAGCAAGATCCTAACGTCAAGGAATAACCTTTCGAGATTATGGTCTATCAACAAGTGTCCATGTTCCCATGGCTTCTAGAGACTTCACCTCTAAAGCTATAGCTGCCAGCTACTGATCCTTTTCGGGTCGAGACACTGCTTCTTAATAGCCACTTGGCTCTTGAATTCCAGTTACTGCAGCATGGGTATAGGCCAGTCCGTATCGAAATGGTGGGTCCCTTGTCATTACGGACCTCTACACTGGATGATCGGTAGAATGTGAATCTACTGCTTCCTCCTCGACCTGATTTTCCTCAGTAGCCCCCACTGAATCTGCAGTATCACCCTCAGTTGGTGCGCGTCAAGCTTTGCTGGTTTTCGTCGTACTTGGTTGCTCAATATCAATGAACAACTCAATTGATAGCTCCAGGGTTCGTAAGGGCTCAGTGTCAACCATGAAGTCATCTGGAATTATGATCTCCCAGAATGTCACGCTTCTTGCTCGCACAACTCGTCTTGTCTCTAGATCAATCGGCAGGTAGGCTGCGCTCTTCTAGTCGTAGCCGATGAACTTGCTTTACTTGCCCTCTGGAGCCAGTTTCCGTCTGTTGCCTCGGGCCAGATAGTACGCCAGGCAACCAAACACACGAAAATAGCTCACTTTTGATGGCTTCCCATAGTGCATCTCTGTCAGTGAAAAGCGCTTCTCGTTGCTGGATGTCGGACACAAGTTGCGAACCCTCACAGCTGTGAACACTCCTCGCACCCAGAACATCTTCGGTAGCTTTGCTTCTGCCAGCAGACATTGAGTCATCTCGGTGATCACTCTGTTTTAGCGCTCTGCTACACCATTCTGTTGGGTAGTATTGGGCACAGGAAATTCTTGCTTCACCTGGAACTCTCTAAATCTCCTATATGCATTTGACAAATACTCACCTCCATTGTCAGTTTACAGGCACAAAAGTGCTCCATGATCAGCCACAAACTCCTGGAACTTCAGTAAAGCATCACTCTTCTTCACCAGGTACTTGACCACTGCCAGCTGACTGAAGTCGTCGATGAAGCTCAAGACATAGCGTGAACCATGCATACTCGGCACTTCAAATGATCCCTGAATGTCACCGAAAACCCCTTGCCCCACTGCCTATGCTCTGCTGTCAGCCTTCTTAGGCACTGTTACTTCAGGCTTCTTAGAAGCTGTACACACTTCGCAGAACTCTAGCCCGCCCACATTGACAAGCGATGAAATATCCTGCTGGTTGAGGTGCCCCAGTCGTCGGTGCCACAACATTGCATCACTGGTATCCCTTCTTGTTTTTGTCACTAGAGTAATCGGGTTTCTCTTGATTCAAGGTAGAAAAGCTTGCCGCCCTGCTTCACAGGTTGCTGTCCCTCATCTGGTGCCAGTAGATGAGACGCATCTGCGGCGAAACTGAAGCTTGAGCCTCTAGCCACAGCTGAGCTCACACTTGTCATTTTCACACTGTAGCTCGGCACAAACAGCACATTGTGAAAAGTGTAGCTTCTCACAGCATCATGGCTGTCCCTGATCTCCACTTCCACTGATCCTTTGCCCTCAATCCTTGACAGCGTGCCGTTGGGGTTCCCCACAGTTGTCCCTTCGTTCCAGCTCTCAAAGCTAGAAAAGACCGCTCTGTCGCGCACCACATGACCAGGGCATCCCGTATCCACAGTCAAGTCGTCTCCCTTCATTGAAGTTAAAGCACAACAACTGAAGAACCATGTACTCTCTTGCTTGCACTACCTTGCAAAATGTTCAGGTTGCCCACACTTGAAGTACCCTTGCTTCTTTGTTCCTGGCCCACTTGCTTCGTTCGACCCACTGCCTCGAGTACTGGGTTGTCCGCTGTCACTTTTGGATTTGCAGTCGCTCGCCATATGACCCTTCTGACCACACGCATAGCAGCCACTACTTGAAACTCCTTTCTTCTTCTTCCTCACAGCTTGCATGGCTATATAACCATGTCCAGTCCTCTCTCCACATCGAGCCTTCCTCGAGTCATCGTAGTTCCTCAACCTCGTTCTCAGCTCTGGAAACGTCTTGGCTGGTTGAAAACTCTCTTGCTTGCACCACAAAATGCTCATAGCTGTCCATTGATCACTAAAGCATTGAAGAGTGTGTCTGTGATTGCTTCTCCAGCTTCGCTCAACCGCGTCATCAGCACTTGACTGCGAACGAAGTAGTTGTCCAGGTCGTCCTCTGATCTTAGGGGCAGCTTCGCAAGCTGACCTACTAGACTGACCACCGTCGGCCTCTCTGCACTGCAGAACGTCTCTTGAAGCAGCTTCAATTTGTCTTGATATAACACAGTATCTTGCTTGTTGTGACTATATGAAGGATTAAAAGCTGCTAGAACTGATTACGCAAAACATTTGTTATCCGTTCTGTTTTCTACATTTAAAAGAAAATTGTTGTTTTTAAAAATAGCTGCATTTGCAATGTAGCTGCTTTCTTTGATTGGCTTTTAGAGGTTTATGTTGACATCTAGGTGCTCAAGAGAATCGATAATGAATTCACTTCCTTTGCTACAAAACACTTGGAGTACACTGACCAATTAATCTACCATGTATTCTTCGTCTGTCAATGATGAAAAAACTGGCTTCGAGAAGCTGTTGGCATGACAAGAAACTTTTGTTACGTCTAATGGCTTGATAAGATTTGCATAAACTGACATTTGAAGCTTGATGGGTATGTTTTCAGTAAAATAGTTCCTAGTGAAATTAATTATTTTTTCTTTCAATGATTCCATCGAACTCAATAGATCTAACTGCTCCCGGATATGAGTGAAAGTTTTTCTTAGTGGCTTGCTGCTCGCCACTGAACTTCATTTCCTTTGCTTTTGAGGCAGAGTTTGAGTTACGTATGTCATGCCGTTCTGTAACGTGACTCTGCAGTTCGTACAACTTTCCAAAAACAATGTCACAATACACACCTTTCTTTGGCTTTGTTGAGGTGTGAGATTCGCAAAGATGTCGTAGAACAGTGTCACGTCTCATAAAACGCTTTGAACAATTCCGCAGCTGTAGTTTGCTGCTTTCTTTGACACAACACCATGGGTTTTTAACAGATGATCATTCAATGTACGTTTTGTCGTATATGACTTTGAACATCAAATGCTGGGAAATTCCATTGTATCCACCCAAAACATCAGAAATATAAATTTTAGAAAAGTAAAAAATTTCAAAAAACAATTTTGATTTGTTGGTTTTTTACTTTCTTTTATTAGTTTTCTGACTTCTTTGAGTTCCAAAATAAAAGTTTTGAAGAATATTTGACTTTTGTGTTTGTGTTTGTTGAGTTTTTGGAGTTCTATAGTTTTCAACAAACAAATTTTGAGTTTTCTAGAACCTTCTAGAAAAAAAAGAGCTTTTTTATAGTTTTAGTTGTACTTATAAATGAACTTTCAAAAATATACAATAAAACCCTTACCAACAGTTCTTACACCTCATACATAGAATCATACCATTAAACAAATGAACATTCATGCAAAAAACACACATGCACACTTACATATATGCATGCATACATACATACATACATACATACATACATACATACATACATACATACATAAATACATATATACATACATACATACATACATACATACTTATACACATACATACATCTATGCATAAATACATAGCTACATACACACAAACATACATACACACTTACATACATGCTTGCCCAAATACTCACTCACATACGTACCTTTCTTCATTCTTAAGTACATGTTTCAGCTAAGTTATTAACAACGAGTAGCTTAGATGTGTTTTTGTTCAAGACAAAAAATTTGAATGATAAATACTTCATTAATACCATAATAAAGCTTCCGCGTATCAAACGAAAAAAAAATAGAGTTTTTCAACTTGCATTGCTTCAAGAAATCTAAAATTCGCAACTCTGCCCAAAAAAAAAGATTTAACATATAAAAGCAGAGAATTGTTCAAAACATTGCATGGGAAAAGCCCAGACTTTTGTGAGCAAAAAGAGATGTCCAATTTGCTAGTTGCATTTGAAATAAGAGATTAATGTGAGGAATCTATAAATTTTGGAAAAATGAGAAATATCAACAGCGTAGGAAAATTCAGGAAAAACAATTATAGGATTTAGAAACTCTAAATTTATTATTATAATTGAGATTCCAAACAAGAATTTCAATTCAACTATGCCACTAAAAGCGCAGTTTTGCATTTCTTACAGTTAAAAATTTATGCTTCTGTGAACATTAATTTTTGGAAAATGAGCTTCTCTAAAAAAAAACTTTCAGAAATCAAGACTTCGTTTTCAAGAATTAGTCAAACATAAGTTCAAAATTCGGATAACTAAAATCAAAATTCTCAGCTCATTCTTTTTTGTGTAAAACGCTCAAAATTAATTTTTAGACCATGATAATTAGAATTCCACAGAAAGTTAATTTTTGCACACCATTAGTAATGACGAAATGACATAACAAAAACTGAAAACAGCGGAAGTGTCTAGAAACATCATGCTGTAGAAAAAAGAGGGTCACAAAAACCGACACATAATAGTTGAAAAATTTTATCTGACCCAGCATGGTTGAAAAACTATCAATGATAAAAGATTGTCTGAAAACAAAATTGTTTATAATATAATGGTAATCCTATTTGATGAAGCTTCCGATCCAAAAAGGAAAGATGTGTCTTTTTTGTGAATTTGTTAAAAAACAATAAACTTAATCAAAACTCTTATACAAATCTTCATTTTTTTTTCAGGAAAATTCCTAAAATTGTTTACGCTCACAGTTGATTTTTTGAGGTTTGACTTAGAATGAATTATTTCTTACAGGAAGGCAAACTCTACTATCAAACAGAAAACGTGTAATGATCACAAAAAAGTGATCGACTTATATTTTTGAAACATGACTTTTATTCTCAAGTTTCCCAACAGAATCAAAAATTTACCTTTTGATCCAGTTTTTTTAATAGGGGTAAATTTATCAAAGAGTGTCAGATTTTCCCACAATCAAAAGCTTACTTTTTTTTTTACTGTTTTAGACTTTTTCCCACAATCAAAAGCTTACTTTTTTTTACTGTTTTAGACTTAAAGTTTTAGCTTATCATGGCTAAGAGCTTCTGAAATGTTTTTAAGTTTATGAAAAAAATTAATTATTTCAATTCTTTTTTAATAATCGCGCACAATCATAAATTTCCTCGTAAAATTTGTAGATGTACCCTTGTCTTGCCTAATTGGTTGGTTCGTAATATGATAAAAATACTAAGTAATTTTTTAAAAAGTTTTTGCTGCTAACAAATTTCGAAGTTTTGGTTCTCAAATAAAACTCGAAAGTTTTCCTTGAAACCAAAGATTTTCCCTAGCTTATAACGTGAAGGTTAATAAATTGTCACAAAAAGACGCTTTTGGGGGCGCTTGAATTCTGGAGGAGGGGCTGTTACTTCACAATGAGTAATTGTAGCTTCTGTTCTTTTGGAAAAAAAATGACGAAACAGTTTTGCTTGTTGTAGTTATTTTAAATAGTCGAATTTTTGGTTTTTTAACTGGCAACTAATGATGGATTTTTTTTCTACAGTCTGAAGCAAATGAATGTCTTGATTGAATATCAGAACGATTCACTGACCAGCCAGACAAACGTAATGGCTTGTTTTGGTAACAAATTTTGCAAACTTTGAAAACAGCGAGTTTGGGTTAGCTTACAAAAAACCCATTTACATTGAAATAATTTATCTGATCGAATTTTTTCAGCGTACTCTTGGTGATTTTGGGTTCTCAAAAACAAGTAAATTCTAATTGAAAAAATGATCCAAAACTGTAGAAATGCCTCAAACATATTTTTTAATTGCACTTACGAAAAGTTTTTAGTATACATGCATTTTTTAGATCAGTTCAAGTTTAATTGCTGTAAGGATAGAAAATTACAATTTAAAATGAGAAAGTTAGAACAAAAAACGCAAAGAACTGATCGATTTTTAGTTTTGAAAGTTGATTTTAATTTTAAGATTTTCCAGTGGAACGAATTAACCATTGATCCAGGATAAAAGTTAACATCCCGATAACATTTTTTAATTGTACGAAAGCTTTGATTAAAGCTTCTCACATGTTGACAGGCACGCCCTCTTACTTTATTTGCTTTGAACAAACATTTTCTTCAAATTTTTTAGTTTTTTTTTTTACTTCGAGCTTTGTTTGTTTGATGCAATAATTGATCAAAGTACCTGCGCTTTCATGATTTGGTGAAGATGGTACCATTTCAGGGCAGCATTTTAAAATGATTTCATGTGTTTTAGGAAAAGCGTTCCTTTTGCAAATTTGTTAAAATATAACCATTTTTTTTTAAATCTGTTTTTTTTTTAATTTTTAAGTCATGAAAACAGATAAAAAGATGAATTTGCCAATAAATTTTTTTGATTGAAAAAAAAAACATTGTTAATTTTAATGAGCTTTGCTCCAAATAGATACAACTGAGTGACTAGAAAGTATTGAAAAGTGTCGTATGAAAAAGTCAAACAGACCAAGACAGATTGGTTCAAAAATAGACGTTAAAAAGTTGTTCAAAGTATTTTTTCTAAACCTTGAGTCATTTCTTCATTTTCGCTGAAAAACTCATTGAATGAAATTCATTTGGAAACAAAAATCTGCACTCGTTATTGTATTTATAGCTCTTTATTCAAGAACGTAAATAGTTTCCATTTATAGCAAGTAAACATACCATGCCTTTCTTCAAGCGGATTGGATCGAATAGAGCTGCAAATGATTCAAAAATCAAATGCAAACATCACTTAACGTGCAAAAAAATTGACCAGGAGAATCCTATTTGACTAGAAGAAATGAAAAAATTGATAAAAAAATTAAAATTCAAAAAAAAATGATAAAAAAGACCTATTTTTGAAAAATTTTTATTTTCTAACCTCAAAAAAATATGGGCTTAAAGCATTTCGTTTTTCAAGAACAACCTATGAATCATCATTGTTTGGTAAAGTTAACTCAGTAACTGAATCAAGGTTTATCTATTTTTCCTTGATGTTTTGAAAGTTGAAATCCACTTTTGAAACTAGAACCCAATCACGTTTTTCATAACAAGCAAACTTTTGCCGTTCGACGA